CATTCTGTAAAATGAATATTCAAGAACGGCTCGTTCATAGAATGTATAGAAGAGGATTCGCAGTAAATAGTGGCACAGATCCTGTCGAGATCGAAGGCTTCATTTTTTTTAGAGAACCTGAAACGACCTTTGCCAAAACTTTTGCCGCACCCTGTAGATGGTCGCGGTGAAAAAATGGCTATCAACAAAGATTTACGACCTGACGCGATCGTCTGTGTTACATGGCTTGTAAAGTACAAAATACTCGGAAATTAATCCCAAATGGCTTTTATGCAGCCCAGCTCTCGTTTGCGACATTTTCTCATAAACAGACAGCTTCTGTCATTCGTCTGTGTTCCATCCAATTTCGTTTTCTACTCGGTGACAAGGTCGGCACGCATTTCTGCTTTGCTCTCTACAATACTAATAATACAAATGTTTCATTAAATGTATTTACATGTAACTGCTATTACCTTTCTATTGGCCGTGCTTGACGGCACTTCTCATACACAACACCCGCAGGTCTTCAATTAGCGGTTATGGCACATTCCTCCCACTCTGGCGTGCTAGCAGGGGTGTGGTATCTTTTTCCCTACAATCGCGTCGCGCTCGCCGCAACTGATCGCGGCTACGAAGGAAAGGTTTCAATTCTCGTTTAAAGTATACAGTGGCCGACTGGGCACCACCGCCGCTTGTCGCGAAGGGGGATTTTAGCGAGGATCAAGAAAAACCTCGATGAAATGGATTAGCTCGGTACTGCGGTGAAATTGAAAACGCTCGAGTTTGTGAAAAATCAGCGGCTGAGCAGGGAGTGTTTGTTAGTTGCCTCGTGACGTCGAATGGCTAATATCTTATTCACATTGCGTGCTTCGGCCACCCATTACCTCGTCTTTGTACTTCCCTGACACGCGATTGGTGAGACAGCGACGTACGCCACTGTGATCTTACAACCCTTACCCCCAAGTGTTGGGCATGCGTTGGGACACGGGGAGGGTGCGATTCTATCGCCGAGGTAATAATCACGTCGTAAAATGGGGCGCGCGGAGTGAAGCCAAATTTCATTCGAAGAACAAGAAATTTTTATCATCATATTATTTCAGATATTATAAAAATGTAAAGAAAATATTAATTCAAAGGAAAATGATCCGAAATCCCAGAAGTAAAACCAAGCATAAATTCACGCTGCGGTGGCGTCATTACATGTTCACGACTAAAGGTGCAAAGATCAACGGCGATAGGTCGCGGGGACCAGCCCCATTATATCGGCGACAGAATTGCTACACACTCATTAGACCATTTGTCCCTTCAGACCAACCTACTAAAATTCCAGACCAGGTCCTGGTCGCAACAACTGTCTCTCTATCCGATCGAATTTTATACACATCCTGGATACAGCTACAATCTTCTTCAACGGAAGATGATCTAAACTTCACCCCCGCATCAAGGGAAGTTAGGGACTCATTAGCTCTTTAGAGTCAGCTTTCGAAAGCAGAGCACGATCTGGGTGCCTACACAACACCGAGCTCGAATTGATCTCTAAAATTTGCAAAACAAATACAACTTATTACGGAGACTACGTTAGTTCTCTGAATCATCGTGGGTAGCGTCGTACAGCACAACTCACTGAACATAGAAAACCGGAAGATACACTCCCAGAGTTCGCCATGCTTCCAGACTCCGAGAAGCTGTAGTATACAAAACTAAAAGTTTTTACACAAAGTTATTTTAATATTATAAGGAACGACAAATTGCACTTGAGGCGTGATTAAAGACGAAAGCAGTCTGAGTCAGACTTTTGAAAACACTACGATCTCGTCTCGAGTAGAGCTAATAGCGAAAAAAATGGTGGGTTCATTTTAGCATGTCGTCGCCTATACTCTTTTCGGTCATCGAAAGCTAGGGACCAGTTGACCACGTTGAATCTCCTAGTGGAGTTTGAGAGAACCCGTCCAAGTTGCCATCATAAATGATTACTGTTGCCATATGATCAATTTTGTAAACATAATTCCGTTTGTTATGGAAACTTAGATCACCCAGCCTGGATGAAGACATGACGTCACAAAGAATGGAAACATACCCTCGCCTGAACTCAATGACCCAATCACACTGAGCAAAAACTTGATTTCATATGACTTACATTCTGATCGACTGAAATCAAACGAGCTATTGTGAAACCGCTCTGCTAAGTGGACGTTTCGAACAACACGTCGTCGTCACTGACCTAAAAGTAGCTTGTAGCTCCTGATCTGTGGCTTAACTGGCCAAGCGCCCAAATCCGCTGGACTAGAAACTCAAACATCAAACGATCCCCGCCAAGAAAGCAACCCTGTGCGGCAAGTATTGCTCTTAGTTATGCGGATATTCGCAATCAAGTAGTGTTGAAAAGTGTGAAATATGCTTCATTTGAGCATTTCGAAGTTTCGCGCGAGTTGCTCCACTAAGAAAAAAGGTATGAACGAAAAGCGTGAGAGCGTTTGGCCGAATACTTCTGAGCGCTACTGTTTGTTTGTAATAAATAAGCTCCTATAAAACATTCACTTGAACCATGTTGAATATAAATACCATAGAGTTTGTTAATAAATATGAAAATATTGAATAAATTTCAAATGTGCAAGTGAAGGAAAAAAACATGGTGCACCCAATGCTTGGTGCCACGGTCCCATGCGCCAGTCATAGTGGCACCCACCTGCAGTTTGAGATAACCCTTTTTAGTCGAAAAGCGGAAGTGTAGGATGGAAGTAGTTCAT